TCCGCCGCGCCCTCAAGACATGGCTTTTCCAGCAAGCGGGCCTGGCCTAGGGAGGATTTTAAATCGGGTTCATTTTTAGAAAATTTTAAATACCACAACTTTAAAATATTTGGGTTTTAATTGGTTTTATTCGGCGGGGATTGTGGGCATGTTTCTGTTTTAAAAATGTTGTGAGCCGCCCTGAGTCCCTCGGGAGAAGGGCGGGATACAAAACGAATAAATGAAATGAAATGAAATCATTGTTTCCTTCTCATATATGATATGATCAAGAGAAAGACTCCAGGATGCTGTTGTAACTTTGAACAGTCCCTAAACAAATGATTGTAAGTAATACCTGTATTAACTGCACGTGAAGAGGACTGGTCTATATTCTCTATCAAACCTGAAAATTTAATTTAGGAGAAAGGAACAGGAGGTTTTAAGTAACTCCAAAGAAATCATTACTTAAAACTGCAACCAAGAGGAGCAAAGTCAGATTTGCTCTCCTAACTTTATAAACATTCCCAGAAACTTTTTAAAAAAGCAAATAAAAACTTTTTCTTAGCTTTTTTCACCTACCCTTCTTATTAGGTCTTCAACATTATCATGCGGGAAGGATCGGATGGCTGCTATAGTCCGGATCAAGCGCTCTGACAAAGAATATTTACTCTGGATGCTCTGCATAATATACCACATACTGGAATTCAGTTTCCTTGGTTACTTTACATGCTCCAAGTTGCCTGAAGAAGAACAAACAAAAGAAGAACTTTTTAAAAGTACAATTTCTTTAAAAAAACTACGTAGAAATCCCAGCAAGATATATAGTAATAGCATTAAAAAAATATCATCAGATTGTTGCATTCATTAATCTATGATGGTGAGGAAAAATTAATCAAGAATAACCTGAGGTTTAAGAGGTGGCTCAAACTTACCTGGACAGTACATGTACAACTAAAACATATCTTCCAAATTAATCCATTCAGAAAAATCAACTGGTATCGGCTGACATTAGAGAATTATTAAGAGATGATAAAGATTATAAATACTTCATGCAAAATGGATTAATTGCATTGAAATCAAGAAATAAAGAGAGCAAACTGATGAAAACACCTTGAAAATAATATCTGAAATATTATGAAAATAAGATAATTAATCCAAGTAATTTGGTTGGATTACGTATTTATTTTCACTATTACATTTTTTTTTCTAGGCTGCTAGGAAAACAATTATCTCTGCCACATTTCCAGCAGCCTTTGTTGGATCATTCCTACAATGGATGAAGTCTGCACCTTGAGGGTCCTTCCAGAGCTCCACTATCAAATAGACAAATGAAGCTGCTCCTACCAATTTAGACTGGTATGATATATATAAAACTATTAACTAGATGTTGATGGCCTCACTTTAATAACCTAACCGAACTAGTAAAAGCTATGTAGGATCAGATTTGGTTATCACTAATCTCACAGCTGCATGGGTAGGTACCAATAGATAAGCAGGCAGACAGATTCCATAGGAGACTGACAAGAAACCTCAGGTGTAGATTGAGAAAATAAATAAATTCTAGTAGATGACATTGGAAAATTATTTTCAAACTGTTGCTAAGAAAGGACTTCATAAAGACACCAGGAGATGAGCTCAACTCAACAGAGACTTCGTTAGATTACTATCTTTAGAGACAATTCTAAAACATCAATTAGTACAAAATACAGCCACGGGAGCATAACTGTTTGCATTACACCTTTTGGCATGACCTTCACAGGCTGCCAACTCTTTTCCAGTTTTGATTCAAAGTCTTCAAACTAACCTATAAAAGTCTTCCCAGTGTTTGGGACCACAGTCTGAACCTTTTCACATATATTCTTATCAGAGTCATTTTCTAAGTCCTGCTCCAGTTGCCTTCTTAGGCTAAAATCTGACAACTGGTTGCCTGGTAGTGGATCTTCTCAATGGTAAGAATAACTGCATCACAGTGAAGCATACCCGGATCTAACTTTAGAATCTTTCTAGCACCAAGCAAAGTTATTTTACTTCCCCAAGCCTTTTAATATATTAATATGTTTACTGTATACTGCAATATTTTAAATGCACATTTACTGACTATGCTTTTATTGTTAATATATTGCATTTTAATTATTACTATGGGCTAAAATGTGATTTTTTTTTTACTATTGTAAATTTCTCTGGAAAATCTCTGCTTGAAGGCTAGTAGGACAGGATATCATTATGGATTATCAAGATTGTAAACTAGGCAAAAAGGTTGCAAAACATCCTAAAAAAGGCACTGACAAACCATAACTATTCATATAATCACCAGGAATCAATGGTATTTTAAGCTTTTTTAAACAAAAATTTACAATAAATGCATTGGATTAAAAATTCTAGAATTTTTAGTCAGCATGATCAACAGACCTGGAAAAGTTTGAAAAATTGTGATTTAGGTTATTTGTTCCTCCTAAAAACAATAATACTTCATTAGAGTCTATATATATTCTATGATTAACATTGGTTTCATAAACATTTACATTTTAAACTTCTTGTTTCTTTTGGAATTTTTGGAATTTGGACTCAAGCATATCAGTTAAAATGCAAGTATCCCCTTAGTTGCAGAGTTATTATTTTGACTACCTTTTAAAGCATATTGTACTTCTGATTCCATTCTTGTTTTTAAATTCCAAATTCTAAAGAAAACTCCTTATAATAAAGCATGCAAACGAACAATTTAATTCTTCTATTTGGAGACTTGAGCAACAAATTATGTTCACAAATTGGCAGTTTATACATAAACAATCCTTGAGGCTATGTAATTATAATCATTGTAATGCAGCAACCACCTCAGTTTTTTTTCTTTTTAATGCTGCAAGGAAGGTAAAATATTTGGTAGCTCCAGATCATCTTTAAATTCAGTTAGATGCTGCAACCCAGGTCATTGCAATAGTATCAGAAAAGAAGATTTAATTTTTATGCTGCAACAAACCATACAAAGAACAGAATAACAAAGATGGTACAATTTGATAAACAAGATAGGGGGAGAGAAAGAATATTAATGCATATGCCTGGTAAACATTCACATTCAGGAGATTGCCATTGCCACCAATTAGGAATGAGCTGAAACAAAACTTGCTGTGCTGCAAGACAACCATTAGCAAGCCCATGAGAAATTAATAAACAAGAAGAAATCGAACCGTCTCCAGGATAGCTGTGTTCCTACACACATCAACAAAATGGCTCCAAGATACTCTAAGGATAAATATTTCTTCTGTCTCAATATACAAGGCTGTCCTTATCTGTCACACAGCCATGCCAATCACAAGTTGTTACATAACAAGCTGCACCTCTACTAAAATCACTGTACTTTTGCATTTTTAATACTGTATTATCTGAGTAACCTTAGTACAAGATGATTTGTGGGTTCCGCTGATCTATCAGAATCAGCAAACCTCCCAAAAATAAAAGTAGAAAACTTTTTAAAAGTAGAAGTTTCTAAAAAAAAAAAAAAAAGGTAGCCTGCAGTGTTTTGAATACATCATCTGACATTCCCAGCCACGTGGCCAGTAAACAAACATTTCAGTTAACTTCTAACTTGAGGAAGCTTTTTGGAACATGTTGTATCTTACCTCTAAGAACAGTATTAATTAATTTTCCAGGTGCAGTTTGGTTTAATACCATCATTTTGTGAAATGACACCGACAGTTCTCATTTAAGAAGTACCTTAGTAGCCTTGGGTAACAAGACAAACAAATTGGCAAGAAAAGAGTTAGGATAACAGTTCTTTCCACTGAATCCAGCTCTAAAACAAGTTAGCATCATCTAGCAAATAAGCTTACCAGCATCACTCCTATTATTTGGATGGGAGATCACAAGGAAATCCCAGGGCTATAGGAAAGATTAAAAAGTGGAAAAAATATCCCAGAAAGCAGCAATAATAAACCAATCAGAATTCTGGGGGCAGCTTTTCAGACTAACAATTTTAAAATAGTGGCAATTAACTTTTGCTTGTTCTAAATAAGGTCAAAGAATTCCTTGGAAAAGATACAGCATAATTTTTGGCTGCAGTCTCTGCAATATGTAAGCTGTAGAGTAGAAGGTTCTTTCAATCTTTTCAAAATGTCATGTTGTTGGCATTTGGTTGGAAAAAGGATGCCCATTTGTATCTATGTTAGCTTCCTTGAATTTTATGCATTTCCACTTCATCCAAAATTAGTGCTTCTTACTGTAAACATAGGAAGAGTGGTGTTAGTCTACGGCAGTGGTTCTCAACCTGTGGGTCGGGACCCCATTTGGGGTCGATCGACCATTTCACGGGGGTCGCCAAGCAAGGCTGTCCGCCATTTTTTTCCCCTTTTCCGGCGGGTGCCTTACCTCCCTTGGGCTGGGCCAGCTGGTGGTCGGCGTGCTCCGTCTATGCTGCTTGCCAGCTACGCCTCGGCCGGCACAGGGGGCGGAACCACGCATGCACAGCGCTCCCAGGCAGGGAAAGTCCTCGACTTACGACCGGTTGAGTAGTCCTTGACTTACGACCGGTTTAGTCCTCGACTTACGACCGGTTTAGTCCTCGACTTATGACCGGTTGGGGTCGCGGCATTAAAAAGGTTGAGAACCACTGGTCTACGGTAACCAAGAAGCAAGTCTCTTGTAACACCTTAGCATCTAACAAATGCATTAGTCTGAAAGGGTACTATCAGACTCCTGGCTACCACAGACTAAAGGGGCTTCTCCACCTACAAAGAAAACAACAGAGGGCACATCTTTTACATTTTAGAGGGAATTAACTCTGCAATTCTGCACACACAAAACAGAGGGTCATTCTGCAGGAGAACAGGAGTCCCTTGCTTCTCAAACAGCTGCCAGCAATCTAATCGTGTGTCTGTGTGTATCTATCTTTACCTTATTCACACACACACACACACACACACACACACACACACACACACACACACACACACAGAATAGATAGCTCGATAGATATATTTTACCTTACTGACACAGACGACAGGCATCCAAGAACAACTAAATGCAGGAACATGTTTTTCATGCCACCGTTTGGATCAAGGTACAAGAAACAAGATTACGCGTTAGGAAAAATCGTGGTCCGGAGGATCCTCCCAACCCGACGCTCTCCAGGCGCAGACACGACAAATTACTCCCGTGCCAGAATCCAGCACGTGTGGAGAGAGCTTGACTTGGGGGGGGGGGAGAGAAGAGAGAGGGACCCTCTCAATGCGAGGTCGCCGCAAAGACACGGACCCCGCTCTCTCTTCGCTCTTCCACGCGGTCGCCTCACCTATCGCCCAGAAGGCTTTTTTTTCCGTCGAGCAAATGACCCCGGAGAGCGCAACAACAGCCTGGCCACGTCACTCGCCCTCCGCACTCACCGCCTCGGCGCCCACTTGACCGCGCGCCCTCCGCTGCTCGGAAGTTGGTCCCCTCGACGACCGGAAATCACGGACGATGACAGCTAGAGAGGCCGACTTTCCCGAAAACCCCAACACAAGCCAACAAATTGTCGCACCGATCAATCCCTTCCTCCTTCCCCCCCCCCACTCCTCATCTAGCTAAAGCCGACCCTTTTCACAAATATCTCCCAATGATTTCAGCGAATGGTACGCAAGTCCCGCCCTTCACCGCCCAGCCTTCCAATCCCCTGAGAGTTCTTCAGCCAAGCTTCTTAATTCGCGGGGAAGATCGAGGTGGTTTTTCGCTGTTGTTGCGGCGGGAATCAAATGCGAGATGGGTCTGAAGAAGGACTCACTGGAGAAGAGCCTAATGCTGGGAAAGATCGAGGGCAATAGAAAAAGGGGACGACAGAGAATGAGGTGGCTGGATGGAGTCGCTGAAGTAGTAGGCGTGAACTTAAATGGACTCCAGAAGGTGGTAGAGGACAGGAAGACCTGGAGGAGCGTTGTCCATGGGGTTAATCGCGACTTCGCAACTAACAACAACAAAACTAGTTTCTTAATTTTTTTTTCTCTTCCCATTTTGGAAAATTATGGACGACTCCAAAAACACTTTTGTTTGCATGCATTATATTGAAGGATTCCAAAAGAGCGTTCATTTGCATGTGTTATATTGATATTTACTGTAATCAAAATTTAAAATTGATGCTTTTGGTACCATTACTGCTTCTCACAATTGTTTGATCGGAATTTAATATTACATTGTTTTTCAACATATGCTGGCAAATAGTGTTGATTTTAAGGACCTTTGAGTGTTGGAGAAGCCCCAGTTCCTATCTAATAGAATGGCTGCAAATTGAACAATTGATGGAAAATCTTAAAACTGAAAAAATGCCATATAAGATGAATAGGGGAAGGAATGGTGTTATCAATTTTTTTTCTTTTTACTTGTAAGTAGTAAATTTGCCCATCTTTGTAGGTTGAAAAAGTCCTGAGGCACCTTAAAAACTGGCCAATTTATTATAACATAAGATTTCATACATTTCAGCCCATTTCATTATATGCAGAGGGGGCTGTCCACAAAAAGTTTGTGTTGGAACAAGGAACAGAAAAAGAGAGATCAGAAAATGACAAGATTTATTGACACTCCATTAAAAAATTGCTGTTTCCTGTTGATTAGAAATGTATAATGAATTAAAAGAGAATTAGCTTATTTTTTTTTCTTTAACCTCTTTTGCCATTCATTCTCATTTAGGTATCCACCCATTAAGCAGCAAGAAGTGCCATCTTTTTATTCCTCTTCTGACAGTTAGCAACTCTTAGCATTGTGAAATCCTTGGTGCTCTCCGAGCTTGGTTGTTTGTTTGCAAACTATCACCCAAATTAGGTAACAATATCATTGCCTCAGAACTCTAACCTGCTAATAATGTTTATGTCATAAGAATATTAGCAGCTTAGATTTCATGAGAATTAATTAAAACACATGAATAGGATGCCAAATAGGAGAGAGCAGCTCAAACTGAATAAATCCCTATGAGGCAGAAAGATTATAGCCTGCAAACCTGAAAGTCAGAATAGCAGCTTACAAATGATTTATTTCTGACTGAAGCAGCCTCTCCCAATCTGGTGAAAATATACTTCAGGCATTAAACACCCATCATCCCTAATGAGCATAGCGTAAGATCAATATAATAGAAATTAGAATTACAATTACAGTAATGTTTAGGAGATCAGAATAGTCCTGCTAGTTCAGACAAAATCTATTGGACAAAAAGATCCATTTTGTCTAACCTGACATTAACCCCAATGACTGGCTGCATATTTTTCATGAAGCCTATAATCAGCCTGAAAGATATTAGCTGATTCACATCATTTGTTTCCCAGCAGTTGGCATTAAGTGGGACATGGCTCTGATTGTGAAAAAATAATTTAGATAGGTTATTAGTGGCAAGCAAATTTAGGCCATAGTAATCAAAATTGGTATGATCCACGTAGATTAAAAAACAGCAGGAAGGTTACAGATACTCTATACATGAAATGCAATACAGTAGTCCTCAGCTTACGATCACAATCGAGCCCAAAATTTCTGTTGCTGAGACAATTAAGTGAATTTTGCCCCATTTTACAATCTTGTTTACTACAGTTGTTAAATGAATCACTGCAGTTGTTAAGTTAGTCACACAGTTGTTAAGTGAATCTGGCTTCCCCATTGACTTTGTTTGTCAGAAGGTTGCAAAGGTGATCACATGATCCCAAGACACTGCAACCATCATAAATATGAGTCAGTTGCCAAGTGTCTGAATTTTGATCACCTGACCACAGGTGCAACCTGCAATGGTTGTATGAAAAATGGGCATAAGTCACTTTTTTCAGTGCTGTTGTAACTGAGTGGTCACTAAATGAATTGCTGTAAGTCAAGGACTATCTGTACAGTAGGGAAGGAAAGTAACTACTGGAAAATCAAAGGCCAGATCTAATTGGTCAGCTACATTATTTAGAACAGGGGTGTCAAAATGCCGGCCTGCGGGCCGGTTGCATCATACTGAGGCCTTGCTCACCCCAACTCCGGTAATGCAAAAAGAGTTGTGATACGTCGTGACATGTCACGTGACATGGCAAGTTTAAAACCCGTGATTTAGAACATGAGAGGGGAGACAAAGTAGATGTTTGCTTGTTTTTAAATCAGGTTCAGGTTAGTTGGTTACAGAATTCCTGTAAAAAACAAAATAAACTAGAAATCTGCCAACCCTTAATTAAAGAAATAAAAAAAATCATAGAAGGAATCCTTGACTTACAGTCATTTAATGACTATTTGAAGTTACAATGGACCTTTACAAAATGACGTATGACTATTTTTTACATTTATGACCATTGCAGCATCCCCATATTCACATGATCAAAATTTGGATGCTTGGCAACTGGCTGTATTTATGAAGGTTGCAATGTCCAGGGGTCATGTGATCACTTTTTGTGAATTTCTGACAAAAAAGTCAATGGGCAAGCCAGATTCACTTAACAAATATGTTACTAAGTTAACTGCAGTGATTTACTTAACTGTGGCAAGAAAGGTCATAAAATGAGGCAAAATTCACTTAACAACTGTCTCACTTAGATAGGAAATTTTGTGCTCAATTGTGGTTGTAAGTCAAGGACTATTGTACCTGTAATGTATGCAAAACTTTGAAGGTCCAAATTTTCCACTGCTTTGGTAAATTGTGTCACATTTCTACTCCAGTGGCCAGACTAGCTGGGCAAGTATGAGAATGGAATTCTACCCATCTGGAGCAGGGCCAGATTAAGGTCAATTGATGCTCCAAGCACAGTCCAACAACAGGGCCCCTGGCCCTTCCAATGCTAAATGACAAAACATTAAGTCTCAATATGTGCCAAAGGTGAAATAAAAGGCCTTCCCTCAGGTTGAACCCCAGAACTACAGTATATTAAATATAAACTTTAAAAAAATATTTAACATCAAACAGCAATAAGCAATATAAGAAAATTATTTAATAATTAGAATAAAATCTGCGCATTTTCAATGCTTTTAAAGCATTGCTACTAAGATTGTTATAGGAGACAATGCAAACATAAAAAATTGTTGAAAACTAAAGTCAAGCTTGACAATGAAAGAGTTAAGAGCATGATAGTTGGGGGCAAAAGCTGAGCACAATACTGCCCCCCTTCCCTTAGTTCCCTAAGCAGATGCTTATTTGGGTTAATGCTTAATCCAGGGTTGATCTAGAGGACACAGGTTGCAGAAAGTTATATGAAACGGTAAATCTAGTTAGCCATGCCAGAATAACAGAGACAAAAACGCAAGTGCAACAAGCTATTTCATCTTTGGCCTTTCTTTTTGCTTTCTACCTACATGACCGTTGCAATCAGAGAAGGAAGATCTATATTTATTTCTAGCTGCTTGCTACTCCTTGTGTTCACCGACGTTCATTCCAGCGAGTCGCACAACAACTTTATACACACGAATTCTGAACCTACAAGATTCATGCAGCCTGCAGCCTCGTTTTCCCCTCTGGAATCGATACCATTTGCTACCAACGCCCCAAACCTGCTATTTGCAAGCCGGGAATCTGAGATATTCCTCTTCCAAATCTAATTTGGAAGCCCTGCAAATTTGCATCCAGCCTGAGAAAAGCGGAAACTCACCCAACCCTTTCTTGACTTCCTTGAACCATTAACTCGAAGTCCGGGAGCTGGACCACCTCTTCATTTCTACCCTCGCCTTCAAGAGCGGACAAGCAACACGTTCACCCTTAAACCATAGAGCTCCTAGTTCCTCTTGGTTCCTAGCGATCACCAGGAAATACAGCGAGGAGGAGGAGGAATAGGGGGTTAAATTAATCGGGGAACCTTCCTGTTCCCAGCAGCCCCCAGAACCGAGAGTTGGGCTTTAGTGGAGTCGCTGCGGTGGCTGGATCCTCCCGTGGTGCTTAGGCGCCCCGGGGACGTGACTGGGGTTTCCTTCATCACGGGCAAGTGAGTTTTAATCGGGGAGATCCGCGCGGGTGGGATAGACAGAAGGGGGTTGAAGCATCGCCTGTAGGAAAACATTTGGGGCAAGATTGCAGATTTTGAAACGATCTCTGCTCCCCGACAAGTCCGTAACGTGGCTCTGCACGATCAAAGGCAGGAGCCCTTCACGTAGCAAAAGACTGCATTATTTGTTGGGATCGGTTATTTTCCAGCGATGAAGCCCATCGTTGACACTCAGTTTTAGGCAATGTTCCGACGGTTTCCCTCGCACTGCCTGCGGGCTTGTTTTGCTGGCTGCCCCAAATGAGACTTCCTCGCAAGATGGCCACCCCGAGCTACAGAGAAAGCTGTCATTTAAAAGTTGCGGTTGAGGAAGCAACCCTGGCCCATCTCCACCAAGTTAGGGGTTGCTACGTTAGAGTAAGGAAAGCGAAAATGAATGCTTGTTTTTTCCAGGGCAATCTCGAAGCAGTGTACCAGGAGGAGGAAGTGTGGTAGTGGGGATGGAGATCAAAAGATATGAAACTGACAGAAAAAGTATAGTATCCTGAGCTATAATGGAATTTAGTTTAAGTCCTGTGCAAACAGCCATTGAGATTAAAAAAATATGGTTTATGATATAACATTGTGTAAACCCAGCTAACTCTGTCTTAGTTATCACCCATAATTCTCACCCAATAATCCAAGGCTTATTGCAACTCCTGAACCTAGCGAAGTGTTCTTTGGCACCTTAAAAACTAAAAGGTTTCCAGTAGAATCCAGATTGCTTTCATTGTCTCTTATCTCATTCTTTTCTAGCACAGCTTCTGTGCCTTTTACTGCTGCATATATAACTAAAATAAATGGGAAATGTTTTCTCAGTTCAGAGATACTGTGGAGCAGTGTTTCTCAATCTCAGCAATTGTAAGACACATGGCCTTCAACTCCCATAATTCCCGAGCCAAATCCCCACAAGTCTTCAAGTGGCTGAGGTTAAGAAACACTTATGTAGAAGTGGGAGCCAGATTGTTTACTGTACCAGGTTAATGTTTGTCTTCTTGTTAATAATGTAAATAACTATATTGGGGAAATCACAATCTTTTGAAACTAAATATATGTTTTCTTTCATGTTAGCATGCTGAAAGTAGCTCTTAAAGCTGGCTGTGTTTGTATGTAGAGAAGCTAAGACAACAAAAACTCAACTATGCATACATGGAAGTTAAAATGAGAACACTCCTTAGTCTTACTGCATTAATTATTTTGGAAGCCACAGTCTCTGTGGGTTAGGTCATAAAAAGAGCAGAATAACAGAACAGAATAACAAAATTGGAAAGGAATTTATTGCTCTAGGCAGTGGGCAAAAGTTATACTTGGTGGCTTTATATCAGGGGTAGTCAACCTTGGCTCTTTTCTCCCAATTCTGGGAATTGAAGTCCACGAGTCATAAAAGAGCCAAGGTTGACTACCCCTGCTTTATATGATCAAGTATCCCTGAGTTGGAGAAGAGATAGCTATTGGGATCCTGATACTTGTGATATCCCTGGTCTTTGGGACACCAAACTAATGGCAGGATGCTGATGAGAGCATGCACTAGTTTTGAACTCCAACATACTGGTCCAGGATTTTCAAATCAATGTCAGATATGCATATAAGGTTAAGTTAAATTGGTTCCCCTATTTGCTAAGGCAAAAAAGGGACAAGCCAGCTATTAGCCAGTTGTACTGTATAGTGTTCCAATAATTCAGGATCTAGCTGGTTGATTCACTATGGCATAGGAAGAACCTCATTTGCTGTCAAGAAGATCAAGCTTAAAATGCTAGAATTCTCTATACAGTGTGTCAAGGATGTATTTTGGTTTGGACTTTCTCAGGAGTACATTGCTAGACTGGATTTGAGTCTCAGAAACAAGGCAGTACAATATATATATAATGAATGTGACCACTAGCGACTAGCTTTTACCCAAGTGGTAAAGGGGGGGAGAGGAAGTAATTGTGTCCAATTATATTTTCTTTAAACCAAGATTTGCTTGTTTGTATAGTACCAAGATCATCAATACCTAGATGACTTTGGTTGACTTCAGAATGCAAAGCAAGATCAGATCTGGTTATTACTTGGATAGGAAATTATTACAGATCCCATAAATCATCTTGGAAGAAGACAGCAACCAACCAGTTTCATACTGCAACTGAGAAAATGTACTAGACGTGTCCAGAAAGCCACCAAAAGATAAATGTTTACCTTACCCACAAATACAGGGTGGCTTTTCTGATTCTTTCTTTGTTTCTTTCTCTCTTTCTCAGATACATTGTGACTTGAAAATTTCTCATATTGAAATGGAGCATGAAGATCCTGGCATTGCAGAGATCTGTGGCTCAGATAAAAGTGGGACCATAAGGAGAATCTACATAGGTAAGAAACTGGGGCATTGTAGAGAGTGACCTGATAAGAGATGTGCAAACTCCATTTCCAATGTGGGGGAAGGGGAGGACTCTAAAGCATGTTTTAGGTCCAGAACAAGGAGCTTAGGCAGATGCCCCCTAAATTCACTGAATTGTAAAAAGGAGGAAGAGGGAGGATGGACAGCACTATTAGTCTTGCTAGTTTCTGTTATTCAGCCAAGTAATTTTAGCCTTTCTGTGAAGTTGATTTCATGGTCTGGTCTACCTAGTGGGGCTGTCAGGTATATAGCCATGTTGAACTGTAAATATTTTATTTTACTTTTCCTCCAAGAAGTGGCATATGAAGTTCTCTATTTTTCCCTTTTTCAGAGCAACCCCAAGAGATAAATAAGATTAGATTAAGATTCTATGCAAGTTCTGCGATTTGAATAAAGATTTGAATCCAGAGTTCACTAATCTTAATTTAGCTTTTTTAGATGAGTGTCTCGGGGATAAAATCTGCATCTTGCCTCTTAGAAGTGGCACAGAATCCTTTCAAAAACTGCCATTGACAGAAGTCTGTCAAGTATAATATAGAGATGTATAGGGCATAATATTACCTGAACAAATTATTTTTAAATTCAACTGAATCAAAATTTCAGTTATGTAAAGTATTTTTTGTCCTGATCTTTTAAAGATGATTTTTAAAAGACTTTTAAAGTCTTTTGTGTATAGCAGAGATAGGCATCCTTTAGTTTTCCAAGTGTTCCTGCTCTTTCAGTCAACTCCAGGCAATGTGGACAATGGGTAGACAAGATGGAAGCAGTTATAGTACCTGAAGGGCCAGAGATTCCTCACTCCTAACCCTGTGCAGAAGAGGCAATCGATTCTTTTTTTTTGTAAAACCCAGATGTGTCTTTCTAAGCAAAGTGCTTCTCCCCTCCAATAGCGGACAGAGGTGTGGTGCGCAAGAGTGAAGATGATTTGAAGCATGAGGCCATCCAGTCCACAATACAGAACAGACAACCTACCTGGAGGGCAAGTTCACAGCAGGAAGTCTCTCCCATAGAACGGCAGGGGAATCTGTTAGTCCCTGGCAACTACGGTGAGGGTGACATGGCTGTAGCAACCAATGTTGTCTCCCGGTCCAGCAAACAGCGTCCCTTTATTTGCAACGAGTGTGGCAAGAGTTTCAGCCACTGGTCGAAACTGCTACGGCATCAGCGCACGCACACCGGTGAGCGTCCCAGCACTTGCACTGACTGCGGCAAGAGCTTCTCTCAGAACTCACACCTGGTGCAGCATCGGCGCACCCACACAGGTGAGAAGCCTTACGTCTGCCGTGACTGTGGCAAGAGCTTCAGCTGGAGTTCCAACCTGATCCAGCACCAGCGCATCCACACGGGAGAGCGCCCTTACACATGTGGGGACTGTGGTCGCAGCTTCACACAAAGCAAGAACCTGGCCAAGCACCGGCGAACACATACAGGGGCCCGGCCGTTCTGTTGCCCCGAGTGTGGCCGAGGCTTTGCACATAGTGCTGGCCTGATCAAGCACCAGCGTTTGCGCCATGACACGGACTCTCCCATTGGCCACCCGTGTCCAGAATGTGGACAACGCTTCCGTGCTCCTTCAGAAGTGGAACGCCACCGCATTGCCCATCATGGGGCCACCCCATCAGAGCCTTTCATCTGTGTGGAATGTGGAGAATGTTTCACCAAGAGCACAACCCTTATCCGCCACAAGCGAGTGCACAAACCAATATTTGTGCGTTGAGGGTTTCTCTCCCTGGTGGGATGTGAATTCTAAGTGATGTCCAGGTTAGTAGCCTGGAGCCTGAGGATAGTTTCGATCCAGTGACTCCGCATCCTGGATCTCGCTTGCTCAGATCAAAGGCCCTGAATGAGCCAGTGTATCAAACTAGAGAGCAGCAGGAATAGGAGGAGGCAGGAAATTCAGCTTGGAGCTCAGGATTCTGGTCATTTGTTGGAAGAAAAACTGTTTGTGTCCAGATCTTGATCTGCCTCCTGGGGCAGGATCAAAAAATAGTTCTCACCATCTGAGAACCAGAAGGCTGTTACTGTAAATAAAAGTTTTTAGTTAGAAGCTATAAGAACTTTTGAGAAGGCGGGAGATCTGGTCTTCAGTCAAACTAAGATTTATTGGGACTTGAAAGGGAAAAAATGGATAAGGAAGTACCTTTGAGTTATTTTTCTTTGGAAAGGTATGGATGTGAAGTGAGAAAAAAGTGAGGGCACTGAAGAGTGGAGGAATAAGAGGGTTGAAACCCAGTTTGTGCAATAAAGTGTTTTGTATCCCCTATCTTAGTTGCTTTCACTTTTACTTTGTTTTCTTATGATTGTCTTTTTCAGTAGAAAACTAGGCAAAGGGTGTCAGAAATGGAATATGGACCAAACATTGAATAGACAATACTGTAGATCTTCATTGCTGAAAAGGTGGAGGAACACAGCAAAATAATAGATTTTGATTGTGGGAGCTACTATATTAAGTAGACATATTAAACAGACATGAACTACAAAATATTTGGGCTTTTTTAAAGAAGTTTTCTCGAGAGCAGAAATGGTCTGTTATTATTATTGGTAAAGAGTGGGGTTTTTGATGCCACATATTATAATTGGATGGTGATGAGCTCTCTACATTTTCTCAATACTTTCCCAGTTTCAAATGACTTAACCTAAAGCTTAATACGCCTTTGTGTTTTTGTTTCCCTCAGGAAATCATGTCTCTTAGAGTTTGACAGTTTGCTATTGAGCAAAAGATCCAGTCTAAATGTCAAAAATTAGTGAGAGGAAATAACTAGATAACCTGAGCAATTGCAATAATATATATTTAAGCTTTGATGGAAATTGTCAGCATTATTAAATCAAAGGTTTTACCTAAAGATGTGTTTATAAAGTTAAGATAGAGGTATATGTTTAGAATGGATGTTCTAAGGAAATAGCAACCATTTCCCCTGCTTATCACCCTTGAATCATTTTTTTGCAGACTTGAGAACCCATGTTGCTCAAATTCAGAAGAAAATTGCAAAATAGAGCTATGATTTCCCTTTTGAAATGATGAAATATCAAAACTGGTGGCTCTTAAAAAACAGTGTCCAAAACCTGGTGTTCAAACCCCAGGATCCCGCTTGGAAAGCATCCACCAAAGTGAAAATAGCCCATCCTAAGCTCAAACTGTATTCTAAATATTTTGCGTACTTGTAGCAAAACTCCATGTCAGGATTTGAGAGGCAGTAAAGTGCCTCAGATAGTAGAGTTTCGGACAGAAGTGGAACGCTTTTTTAAAAAAGGCAGGTGAAATAGTCTGGTAGTAAGACAAGATAACCAGGGAAAGAGATATAGTTTAATTCTGAGGAAGGAAATACTTTCAGATTGGCTCATTCCAGCTAATACAGGTTTGTCTTAAGTGGCTGGCACTATTGCCTGTTTCCATTTGTCTTGTAAGTTCTAGTCCTGACTTAGGCATGAAAGCCAGCTGAGTGACTTTGGGCCACTCACTCACAGCCCATCCTACCACACAGGGTTGTTGTTCTACGGAAAATAGGAGGAAGGGGTGTTATGTATGTACGTATGCCTTGAATTATTTATAAAGTAATAAAAGTAAAATAGAAAAAAAATATTCATAAATAAAATGAGAAGAAACAATAACTCAAAAAGAACTGGAAAATATTAGCAAAAACTATTGTGAGATGTACAAATGACAGCAGGTTCTTCAGCTCATGGAATTGTTGATGCACTTATTTTCTGCTTGTGGGGTTTTTAATAAACATCCATCACACCTCTCTGGAATAGAATACTGGCCTGGATTAGCCTCTCAGGAATCAAAACTATCTTTATTCCCATTTTAACAGTGGCCAATCGAGAAATTCCAAGAAAGCTTATAAGTGTGGCGTGGTGTTCCATTTTTGACAAGCATCTGCTAGTTGAGGTATTCCTATCTTTTGAGTATGGGATAATAATTCTAAAAACAGAAGCAGACTAGCTTGGACTACCGGTGGTGATGACCTATCTCATCCAGAAACAGAAGAATATTTGTTGTGAAAAATTAACTCTTAACAACCTGACAGAATTAAAACCTGACTTAGATCTGAAAAAGGAAAGGCTCTTCTTTGGCAGCAGAATTTGTAAACCCATGAAAGAATCATTCAGATAGTAAGAGGAAACTAAAAAAATGCATATTTGTAAAATTGCAATGTTTGTCTTGGTTTTAACATACTCTTAAATATTTGCAAAATCACATTAGAATGTCATTAGAAAAATCTAAAAACAATTTAGGAATTATGGTAATACAGTACTTCAGAAAAGGGATAGTTTTAAATTCTTTTGCATCTGATTTACATGTGCACAAATACTTGAAAATATAAATCATTACAGGTAGTCCTTGACATACGACCACAATGGAAGACCTTCCATTACAATTATTAAGTCTGTCATAAAATGGGCCACCCATGTGATTGATCTGATTTTATGATTTTTTTTGCAGCATTCATTAAGCGAACCAATGGTTTGCTATGAGTCAGTTTTACTAAAAACTGGAAGTAAATGCTGTGTTTTGGCAAAGCTATTGTAAACAGTCGTGTTTTATGTATATTAAAATTTAAATAATACAGTATATACTGTATATTTTATATAGATTATGTCATGGAGCCAGTTTGGCCTAGTGGTTAAGGCATCAGACTAGAAACCGTGAATTCTAGACCAGCCTTAAGCATGAAAGCCAGCTGAGTGACTTTGGGTCAGTCCATCTTCTCTCAGCCCAACCTATCTCGCAGGGTTGTTGTGCGGAAAAGAGGAGGAAGGTGTGCTGGATGTGTTTACTGCTTTGAGTTATGTGTAAAAATAAAAATAAAGGCAGGATACAAAATAAATATTTGCAGGACACTGCAAATGGCTGAGTTGCATAATATAAAGTCATGTGATCACTGGGAGGGCTCAGCCATCAGACCTTTGGAACTAGATTACCCCCAGGGAGGTCCTACATAATTTTGAACACTCACTAAGCGACCAGTCCTGTGTAAGTAGTGTACCTTTTATCGTGAAAATTAAGTGGAAACAATTTATCGTGAAAATTAAGTGGAAACAATAGAGAAATCATACACACTTCACGCTACATTGTTCACTTAAAGTTTGCTTAACTATGTTTCCACTATACTGGCCAGTTCAATCCTGCTGAGGATCCTAGTGTTAAGGACTACTCGGCCCTGGCACCTAGATCTAGGCTCCTTTATATTACCTCAAGTATGTGTGCACATGTAAGTACAGCAAAATCTCATTTTACTACACCTCAGGCATCTAACTAAAACATGGTCCGAATTTCTGCTGTGCTTCATTCTATTCATGCAAATGACTGTACTAGTATATAAAACCATTTGCTACCTTGTACTCCACAAACATCTGTTTCCTCAAAAGCAAACTCATATGTTCCCCACTCTAGTGGTTCTCAACCTTGTCTTCACCATAGACCTTCTTTAAATACCTTTTGTGGCTATAGACCACCAAGACTTAAGATTTAAATCAACATTTTTTCAAGCCTTTGTGGACCCTCTGTGACATTACAGCCCCCCAGGGGTCTGCAGACCACAGGTTGCTAACCACTGCCATAACTGCTCCTCTCTATAGTCCTTCATCATGGAAAGATACTTGTCCCTTTTTTCTTGACAGGTGAAATGCTTCTAAACAATGCTGTGATCTGCAGGTCTCACGTAATTATTTTCCAAGAGTACCTTCAGGATACACACCAAATACAGAAGTATTCTTCAAACTACAATTTGTAACTCAAATTGATTACATCCCTTTTTTTAAATCAAAAGAACCTTAACAAAATAAAATCAAGTGGGCCATGGAGCTTTCTGGGCAGCAATGCATTAGTCAATATGCAATTACTACTTGCTTTGTTCTATTTATTTTGTACAATTCCATTTACAAGCACTGCATTTCACTGGGCATCTTATGAAAGATGGCATCCAGGTGCCATAACTAGCAAAACATAACATCTGAAAACTCAACGAGTTGAGCAGATGAGGTCCTCAAGATATTATCAGTCCCAAAAACAGAAACACTCCCACATTCATTTTAACAGAACAGAAAATTATCATCCCCTTACCCTCCCACCCTCCCTTTAAGCTGCATGCAGCAGGAATGCTGCTTCCCTCCAGATGTTTTGACCATCACAAAATAATAGGTGGGCAAGGGAGTCATCTTTGCTAGGCCTTTGTTGGCAACACTTGTGAGGCACCTGCTGCTGTCAGTTGCTGAATCTTTTGGTTCATCATTTCTATTACAGCTGTGAAAGAAAAAAAACCCAAAATGAGTCAGGAAGGCATTTTAGCAGTAATGGCTATAATCAGAATTAGATGGAGTTACATTTACAGTTTTTGCATTTCTCAGTTTTTCCCTGTTGCTAAGGCCTACCTTGCTTCATTGCATGCTTCTCCTGCAATGCTGGCTGGATTTTCTCTATTTGCTTTGTCAGGAAATCAATCTTCCTCTTGAAGAAGTCTCTAGCCTCATCCACTCTCTGCCAAGATCAACGGCATTGTTACTCCACTGTTTACAATCAAATGGCTTTATCAACAAAGAATGCCCAGCTAGCACCTTGCAACTGCTAATGTGGTAAATCCAAATTAACTGGATGATTTTCCCAATCAGATTTTGGCTTGTATTTTTCAGTCAACGGTGGGCAGAACTGGGTGTTTTCTGGAAGATTCAGAGAACACTAAATGGCCCATCTTCAATCCCTTTTACAATCTACCCCTGTATATAGTGGAAATGGGTTGGGATCAGCTGAGGTAAGCAAAATACTTTGGTGGCATAGAGAGACATATAAAAATGAATGAAATAAAAACACGATTTGAATTTGGTTATTTCTGCCAAGATTAGAATTCTCTGTTAACTCTTTTGAACTGGCCTTTGTTGCACTTTATAGTTTCTCAAGAAATGTGCCTTTTTTCACAACCTGGTGTAAAAATCAGACCAGGAAGGTTTCCTAAGAGCCTCTTGTTCGGGGTACACGCAAGTAGGGGCCCATGCTTTTAAAGCCTCTGGCTCAAAGGCAAGCCGGGGAGAGGGGAGTTGCACATGAATACCCATTGAGGAAAATGGATTTGCTTAACAAACAGTGGTGTTTGCTTAACAACTGCAGCATTAATGACCACTGCTAAAATGAGGTCCGATTTACGATAGTAATTCAAGGCTCAATTACAGCTGTAAGTCGAGGACTTTCTGTACAACTGTGCCTGCATGGTGGAAGACCAGAACTCTGCATTTCCTATGATGTTAAATTATGTATTGTTGCCTCCTTGGAATTGTGAAGCTCCTTTAACATCAGCCTCACAGAAATGATAAATGTCTTACCTTTTCTACATAATAACCTGTACCTACATCTAACAATACATGGCTCACATCAGAAAGCTTCCCAGGAACATACATCTGTAAAGAAAGGTTAAGGAAAAGCAGAAGATCCGGGAGGAATCAAGCACAATCAAGAGGGAAAAAAGAATTAAATTTCTAGTCCAAAGAGGAAGTCCCCCAGTGGAGTAAGTAAAAAAGTCACAAGCATTGCTAGGTCATCACTCTCATGCTGATGAAGAAACAATACTGGAAAGAATAATTATAATGACTGAGGTAATATTATGAAGCATGGCATCAGTATTTCTTCACGAAATAAAATAAAAATGGTAAAATAGTAGAGTTATGAGTATTTTTGGAGTTGTTTGGAGCTTGTAGGATGCAAATATAGCACTAGACTTAAACTACTTCAGGCAAAGAGTCACAGAAAGTACAACCATCTCATCATCAGTACCTTTTGGGAACTGGCTTGCAAACTCTGCTCAGTTTTACAAAACATCCAAGCTATAACTGTAGACATGAGAATAGCTTTACCTTTGGCTGATTTATGTTAACACAGTTCCTTGGGACCACTTTACACTAGCCTGGTGTTTTGTGGTTGTCTCCCATTCAAGTACTCAGCAGATTTAAGCTCACAGTTGTTGTTTTTTAATTGAGCCAGAGGTTGCCATTGTATCTAAAAATATACTCACAACAAAATACACCTTCCCACCTGTGCTATGCACTGAGAAAACCTAGAACAAAGCATATCTTTGTAGCTCTCTAAGTAAAGACACAACTCCTGTGGTCTCCAAGATTAGAAAACAGGAGATTCTTGAGGTTTTATATTTGTATAATCAATGTAGTTCCATATTAAAAGTTTCTTTTGCCTTCTCTAGTGTCTTAAAAATCCCAAATGTTATAATCATGGTAAGTTACAGTGGTCCCATCCAATCATAGGTACAGCATTAATTTGGAAAAATATCATTTGACAACAGCTGCAGGAGGAAATTCATTTACACAAATACAAAATGAGCTAAATGAAAAGATGCCTCTCCCCCTTTTAAAAAAGAGACTTGTTCTAATATTGGAATTAGAGGTTGAACTACAACAGACCAACCTTAGATGCTTTCTCCTGGTATAGTTTTTTTTGTGCTGGTAGTTGATGGCTTCAAAGTGCTGCAATTTCTTGTAGAAAAACACTGTTTATCAATACTTAAAATGGAACTTCTTCAAGGTTCTGAGACTTCTCCTGCAAGTACGATTAGTGTGTCATCAGGCTACACTTTGGGTTGCTATGGAAGCATTTTTGTTTCTCAGTTGAGCAACTGGTGGAAATCACAACAGAAAGCATAATACAGAGCCAGCCAGCACTGGTTCGCACATTATGTTTCATCATAAACTGTAATTAATATGTCATACAAATGTGCCAACTGCTTTCTGCTGAAAAGAATGGCATTAGCCTGAAGGGATTCTGATTTCTTACTAACTTTGATTAGATCCTTCCTTCCTTCCTTCCTTCCTTCCTTCCTTCCTTCCTTCCTTCCTTCCTTCCTTCCTTCCTTCCTTCCTTCCCTCCCTCCCTCCCTCCCTCCCTTCCTTCCTTCCCCTTACAAAGCTTCTAAGTACAACATATAGAAATCTACAGCTTCCAAGGTAACTTGCCTCTAGATTTATTCCCATGAGAAATGATAGCAGAATAGCTAGCCTATGCAAACAATATTTCTTTTTTAGAAGTGGTAAACCACATTTGGGCTCACTGAAATAATAGTAATTCAGTAAACTGTTTGATTGTTGATTAATCCCAGTGCCAAATTATTAGAATTACTAGAAATTACTATACTTATGAGGAAGAAAAAGTCAAAAAGTTGAAGATCTTCCATGATATTATTTTGTAAAAAGGATACAGAGCTGGAGAGTGGAACCAGTAGCTCTTTACCTAAGCAGAGGAGAAAAATAGGTTTTGCAATATGTTCTAGATAAGGCTACCCTACAAAAGGATAAATTATAACTAATGCAGAATTTAGCAGCTAGAACAGCCCATATACCATGTTAAACAAATCATACTAGCTGGCAACACGTAGTTCAAATACAATCTGAACTGTTAGTGAATGTTGTGTAATGGTTGTAATTGGTTTAGGACCATAATACTTGAGGAAGGACACTTTCCAAGATTTATTAATATAGATATTAAGGTCTGCTAAGGAATGTTTTCCTTAGCTTCTACTGCTGAGATCAACTGTCCATCATGTGGAAATGCACGGAAATGCCATCTCACCTATGTAGCCCCCATACAAAATGGTCTTGTCTTAGACATTAAGCTAACACAGATATTAGTGTCATTTCAGCAGTATCTTAAGATCTGAATATTTTGGAGAATCTTTGAGCCACGTTAAGTGCATCCTTTCCCCTTTGTATTATTTGTTTTACATTTATTTTACTAATTGCACTAATTTCTTCTTTTTATGACCCTATAATCCCTTAATTCGGGGTAGAGTTGGGGTGACTCAATGGAGCTGAGTGTTTACTGGCTGGATGCCCTTCCTCATGCCTATGCAGAGTTCACAGCAGATATTTTCTCTTTGGACCCTGAGAGAGAAACATCTGTTGCTACCTAGGATTGAACCCTCAACCTTCCGAGTACGAGGCAAATGTCTTCAACACTAGGCCACCATGCTATTCATTTTACTAATTGCACTGTGAAGCTCTAATATAGAACAGGAAAAATAAATAAAGAGGAAAATGCCCAGAACTATTCTCCCAATCTGCAGAATATTTAATAGTAATTCAGAAACAGAGTTCAATACAGGACCATTTTTTGAATCTGAGACACAGAAACTATTGCTGAATTCCTATTGAGCAGTGTTTCTTAAGGTGTGGTACTGGAATCTCAGAGATCCATAAAATCACATTTCCCAGCCTATGTTATATTAAAATCCCGCACAATCATGAGAAGCAACAATGGCAGCGAATGCATCAATTTTAATTTTTAATATGATAAATATTGTTAAATGTAATGCATACAAACAAAAGCTCTTTTTGGGGTCCTTCATAATTTTTTAAAATGGGAAAGGCTCCTGAGAGAGAGGAAAAAACCCTTTAAGAAACATTGCTTTAGCAAGTTTTATAATATTTTTCCAGTCTTCAGTTATTTAAACCACAGATGAATAATCTCAAACTGACCACTAAAATGTACCAATGAAACGTCAGCCAACCATGTAACCAAAACAGACTTATTATAATCAAAACAGAGAAGAATCTTCTAGGCAAGAGAAGATGAGGCACAGGTAGAGAATTTCATTAGGTCATAAAACAGCTGGGAAACCTCTGGTTTGGAAGATGTAAAACTCATCCCAGCATCAGCTAGCACAGCCAATGAGGAGGAATGTTAGGAGCTACAGTTCAGCAAAACCAGAGGTTTCCCACAAAAATCTCAAGCACATTTTCAAGACTGAGCTGAGGCTACAAAAGAGTGTGATTTTAAAAAGGGAATTATTACTTGCCTTCATTGCTTTTATTTAATACATTCAGACAGTCCTTTGCTTCCACATATTTTGTCTGTACCACCTTAAGTTGTGCAATGGATGAAGAAAGGAATTCAACTTCCTGGAGAAAAAACATACAAAACCCAAGAGTTCAGCAATGAAGGCCATACTCTCAGCTTCCAAACAATTGTTGGATTAGACATTCTAAAACAGTCTTAGAAAATTTCGTCACTGTGCTATTTAGTGCACTGAGAGATGTGGCAATTATTTTATTTAAATGTGTCTGTTCTGTTCTCATCAAAAAGTTTATCATGCTTTTTATGACAAAATGACACCATGTAACAGATACATTGCAAGAAAATGATGGAGATGTTGTGGCTACATAGTTCATAAACATGCCCATTAACCACAATTTCCTCTTGTTCCCAATGGAATATTTTGGTTTATTCCACATATGAACATGTGGGAAGACTGAACTACAAGCATTTCCACGTGTGGCAGCATAATGTCCAAATCAGGGTGGAAAATCTATGGCTTTTCTGAAGTTGTTAAAATTTCCAAACACATTGTTGATGTTGAAGAATGTTGTGAGCTGTAATTCAGCAACATTTGAAAGGGATTACAAAAACATATTATGTTTATACTAAGCTTACCTTAATATTGAGCAATGAAAATTGGAGATCTGGTTCCTTAACAACTCCATTAGTGAATTGAAATGTGGAATTTAAAGAATAACAGGACCCATAGAGAATGAGTGACAAGAGTTGGCTCAAATTCTAATTGCATAAATCCTTGCCATATAATCTTCTATAACAGTGGTGGCGAACCTATGGCACGCGTGCCAGAGGCGGCACTCAGAGCCCTCTCTGTTGGCACACGCGCCACCGCTGCCAGCAGCAGGTCCATCAGGCCACCGCCATGAGCCCTGCCCAGCACAAAGGAGGTGAAGCGGCCGACTAGCAAGCTTGAGTAAAGGTGGTAGAGCAGAGGTCACCAACCATTGTCGATTGGTGGACTGGAAGAAAAGGGAGGGGGAAGCATTTTACATGCGTGCATGTGCACAGGGGGCCGTGAGCACACACGCGCTGCAAATGGGGCGGGGCTACTGCCTGCGTGATACTCACTAGCCCTGCCCCATTCTTGCATGTTGCAGCCTTGTATCTGCACCCTGTGGTGAGGCAGCAGCTGTTTTTGTACCTTGCAGCATGGTGGCCCATTTTTGTACCCCCGATTTTTGCGTGCCAGAGGCGGCACTCAGAGGCGCCTCCCTGCCCCCCCCCGAGGGCACCACAGTGCTGATGTGGCCCTGGCACCCGGCGATAAATAAGTTGGTTTTGGGTTGCGGTTTGGGCACTCGGTCTCTAAAAGGTTCGCCATCACTGTTCTATAACCAGTCTAGTGGACAATAAACTATGTAAGATTATCACATAAAGCAAGTATCATTTTTTTTCTTAAAGTAGGAGAACACAGATTTTAAATATCAAAATGATAATCCTGGGATTCTTAGGAAAATTAGAATAGCATCTTAATCCCAAGAATTAAATTGAGTTGATTCACTAATATTAACATATTCAGTTAAAACATATTTTTCAGCTAGATCAGGGGTAGGCAACGGCTCTTTTATGACTCGTGGACTTCAACTCCCAGAATTCCTGAGCCAGCACACGAGTCATAAAAGAACCAAGGTTGCCTACCCGAGCTAGATCTTTTCCAGCTAGATCCTCAACATATGAACGCACTTAGAATGGCCGAACAATAGAATCACCCCACTAATCGCCTCAGTCATTTTAATCTAGCATGGATTTCTCTTTCCTGCCCTCCTCCATATTCCACATAGGTTTTAAATTAGGAAATAACAATATCCTCTCTCCCCACTGCTGCCTCCCCAAATACCTAATACTGAAAGATGCCTGTTGTGAATGAAAGCAACAGTTAACATGCATCTGTCAGACAGGGACAAGGTCTAAACAGTTCGGAACATGAGCTTGACAGAAATTTGCAGAAATTCTTAGGTTCTTAGGGTCCAGAATAATGAGATAACATTCAGAAGCAACTTAGGTACTTCCTTAATTCACTGGATACAGGGAGGAGGAGGGACAGTATAGCCTTGTTATTACAACCAATCTCAGTCAAAGTAGTTTTAGCCTTCCTGTGGAGTTAATTTCTTGGTCTGATCTATATGTATTCCTCAGTTAATGTCCACTCATTCAGAAACTGTTTCAATTTACAACAGCACTGAACAAGTGGTACTTATGACCAGTCCTCAAAGTTCTAGCCATTGAAATACCCAGTCACATCATCCCAATTGGGGCACTTAACAATCAGCTTGCACAACAACAACAACAACAACAACAACAACAACAACAATAATAATAATAATAATAATAATAATAATAATAATAATCTGGAAGGGATCTTGGAGGTCATCTAGTCCAACCCCCTGCTCAGGCAGGAAACCCTATACCATTTTGGACAAATAGCTGTCCAGTATTTTCTTAAAAACTTCCAGTGTTGGAGCATTCACCGCTTCTGGAGGCAGATTGTTCCACTGGTTAATTGTTCTAACTGTCAGGAAGTTTCTCCTTAGTTCTAGGTTGCTTCTCTCCTTGATTAGTTTCCATCCGCTGCTTCTTGTCCTGCCTTCAGGCGCTTTGGAGAATAGCCTGACTCCCTCTTCTTTGTGGCAACCCCTGAGATATTGAAATACTGCTATCATGTCCCCCCTCGTCCTTCTCTTCATTAAACTAGACATACCCAATTCCAGCAGCCGTTCCTTGTATGTTTTAGCCTCCAGTCCCCTAATCATCTTTGTTGATGTCAGTTGCAGCATCCCAACCTTGAGGGGCTTGCGCCATGTCTCCTCAGCCACTTGTGCACCCTCCCCAAGCCTTGCTGCACCCATGCCACACCTCCCCTGCCACTTATGCATCCCTTCCCATCTGGCAGCAAATACACCAAGTCTTGCTATGCTTGCACCCGCCACCATTCATGCACCCACACAACCTGGCAGCAGCCAGTCCAAGCCTTGCTGTGCAACACACCTCCCCAGCCAGCCACCCCCATTTCCCATGTGACAGTAGCCATTTACCTGTCTGCTGGCTTGGTTGTGAACTACCCAGGACTTGCAACTGCCAGCTTCCCCACCCACTTTGACAAAGTTGGCAGGAAGTTGTTAGGAGGTTCTCTCTTAATAACCCACAATCCTTTCTTAACAACAGCAATGGGGACTGCAAGAATTGCTATTACCAAGTAATGAAGTCACATAATGTTGCACTTAGTCACAGAAATTCTGGTCCCAATTGCTGACATAACTTGAGCACTACTTCAAAGAACCATGATCTAGAATCAATGGAGCAAATAGTCCTGTATTGTAGCTTTTATCTTAGCTCGTATAATGATTTGATTAATCTAGTTTTACAATCCTTTCTTGGACATTCTAATCAATTTTATATTAAATGTCTTCTTTGTGATCAAATTCTTCATTGCTGTGGCAAAAATTTTAACTAGGGTTATTCGGATAAGGTAGCAATTTGATTTTAATTCCTATAGAGATATTTAGAATTATGATTAAGGAAATTTACATAATATTGGGTACTTCAAAATAATCTTGTTATTTTATTATAGTCTGTAGATGTTTTACATAAACCGACAGGTATAAACTTTTAGCTAGGAATACTGTGTTAAATTTAATTACTTTTATTGTGCTATGCTAGTCTTTTGTTACTTTAGTACAAGGTCTGGAATTCTGTACCCATGAATATTACTATAAAGCCTTGCAGTCTGAAGTAATGTTGAATTTCATTCCAATTTCTTTGATTTTTGTTTTTGTTTTTTTTGTTTTTTGCATTTGTAGTAGACCAGCACCATCCTGTGGTCTGCTTAAAACCTATTCATTTTGGCAATGGTTTGTTCTCCGAGCTTGCTGTTTAGCTTCTGAACGTTTCATTATCAAACTAGGTAACATCTTCAGTGGGACTCTGGGTGAAGTATCTTGTCCTGTTTCTCTTTAGTTTATATAGGTCTTGTGTGGTGGTGCGGTCAGTTGGTCACATGACTGGCTGTTCGCATTGCATGAAAATCAACTGGCAAGCAAGTTGGTTCCATCACTGATTGGTTGTTCAAGTAGTCCGGTTCAATGACAGAACCAACTACCTCACCAGTTGATTTTCGCACCATGCAAACAGCCAGTCATGTGACCAACTGACCGCACCACCACACAAGACCTATATAAACTAAAGAGGAATGGAACAAGACACTTCGGCCGAAGTCCTGCTGAAGATGTTACCTAATCTAGTAACAAAATGTTCGGGAGTTAAATGGCAAGCTCGAAGAACAAACCACTGCCAAAATCTACTCCCAAGCTACAAATATTTTCTATCATTTCAAACTGATTCATTTTGTTTGGCTTGCTGTCTGTTTGGTTGCTGATCCTGATCAAGGGAACTCCATACTTACATCTTTAGTAGGGAAGCTTTGTATGTTAATATCTCAAGTGAAAAAGAATTATTATAGTTTTCCCATTCCCTTTGTCCTTCCTTTCCTGCTTGATGAGGTACATGGTCTATCATGTAAGGATGGGAGGTAGCGTTGAAAACTCTAGTCATAAGTCTCTAAACTACATGCCCCAGGTATGAAACTTAATTCCCCTTGATTTTTTAAAATCTCTTTAATATCTAGAAATGCAGCAAAGAGTCCCGTCTCACACACAAAGGGTTGGAGGAAGAATACTATGTGAACTGCGCCCTCTCCCCCTCCCCCCCTTGGAAAAGAATGAAACCAACCAGCAAACCAACTGTCAAACTGCTGATCCAAAAGAGACAGAACCAGCATTTAAAAAACAAAAAGGCTGCTGAGAGAGAAGGCTTGAGACTTCCAGTTTTCCATCCTGTATTTGTGAATGTCATTTAAGTCAGTGACATTAGCAAATAATAAACCATCTCTGTCTTCAAGTTCAATGTTAAAAATTATTTTTGAATCAATTTTTCACATTAACAAGAGTGGATAGTCAAACAGGAGATTGTGAATTACATCAGTCTCTTAAAATAAGAGTGACCATACCTTTTGAATTCAGATCTAACTTCATGTAGAAAGCCATTAACAAAGCAACCTCTTATTTCTATAATTCTAAGCACTGACCCTCCTCGCTTAATTTATACAGTAACAGAAAGAGATATGTCTGGCCTATTATATTAAAATATTGCAGGAATGATGGAGAAAATATTCAGAGTAAAGCACTCCAAATATTAAAGTGTTATATAAAACTAATATTTATGGAGCAGGGAAATTATTTAGGATACTCATTTTGAGAAGAGGAGAGACATGATTTTTACCTGATCTTCCTATGGCATCTGAACTTAAGTGACAAACTTACCAAAAAACCACAAACAATTTCATGTACATTTTGAGGGGAAAGAGGGGAAGGCAAAGCATAATGACCCCAAACAGTTGAATTATGCAAGGCATTTCCAAGAGAACATACTGAGTTTTTGAAGGACTGATGGGATAAAGGGTTGTCTAGCACGCTATATAAAACCCAAAGCTGGAGAACATCTAGGTAAGTCACTTTCATGTTCCTCAATACTCAATACACATTTCCATTTAAAAACTACCTATCTGTGAGTTGCCCAAAGTCCTGAGGTTCAGACTTCAAGATACAACCTGGAGACTCAGGTAGTCCTCAACTTACAACCACAATTGAATCCAACATTTCTGTTGTTAAGTGAGAAATTTGTTACGTGAATTTTGCCCCATTTTACAACTTTTCTTGCCACATTTCTTAAGCGAATCACTGCAGTTCTTAAATTAGGTTGTTAAAGTGAATCTGATTTCCCCATTGATTTTGCTTGTCAGGTCGCAAAAGGAGATCACATGACACCCCCCCCATACTGCAACCGTCATAAATGTGTCAGTTGTCAAGCATCCAAATGTAAATCACCTGACCATGGAGATGCTGCAACGGCCATAAGTGTGAAAAATGGTCATAAACCACTATTTTCAGGGCCACTGTAACTTTGAATGGTCACTAAATGAAGTTGAGGACTACCTATATTAGCAGCCCCTGGAAAGTCACAGGGGGTTGTGGCCTCACAATGAACATTACAAGACAAAGATCACGATGGCCATAGACAAAATCCTATTACCCGGTTAAAAGCTTGCGTCCCCTTCCTTCTCCCCCTTCTTTTATTCAATGGAGATTCAGAGAAAGCCGTGACGGCTGCAGTCTCACTCACGCTTACCTGGGGATAATATTGAGTCCAATGGATGGGTCTGCCTTCCTTCCTTTCTTTCTTTCGAATAATTGGGCTCGGCATGAACATCCACCCCAACCGGGTACCCTCCAGGACGTTTGGCTCCCAACTCTCACCTCCTTCCCCCATCCTTGGGGGAGATGGGAGCTTCTGAAGGCCAAGTGAAGGAACCCCCGGTTTAGGTCCGGAAAGGACTCCCCCCCCCCGGGTTAGGGTCTCGAAAGGACCACCTAATTCCACCCCGAGCTGACCAAGCGCCCCCTCCTTCTGTGCCGGCAGCCGTGATGACAAGCAAGCCTATCCACCTCCACCCCCCCTCCGCTTTCTCACCTGATCCAGCTGGGTTTTCAACACTTCCAGTTGCGGCAGGGAGAGCTCCGCGATGTTCACCTGCTGCGCCATCTTAGGAGGCGGAGAGATCCCTCCGCGCGCCTCCTCGGGAAGGTAGTGACGCTCGCTCTAGCTGCTGGAGTCTATGATCAAGGCGCCCTTTGTGACTCGCGGCCAACCGAAAAGGCCGCCCTGCCCAGCCAATAGAAAGACGCTTAAGGCTCGGGACGCCACGCCCCCACTTCTTCTTAGAGGGCGGAAGCGCTATTACCGAAGTAAGGGGGAAAAAAACCAGCAGCGCTTACATGCGTCCAGAGGCAAATCTGTATTGGAGCGTGTGAATAAAAATCGGAACTCCGATTGGTTTCTTTGGACTGTGCAAATGATTTGCGTTCGCTTATGTCTTTGAATCGCCCCCATCAAGCAAACTGAGCCCGCTACTGCCCCTTCCAAAGCTATTCATCGAAGATCTTAGATCTATTGTTATAAGATCTCAAACATCATCCCCGTTGGTTGGGGATGACGCGAAGGGCAGTCCCAAGCATCCGGGGGGGTATCTGAGGTCTTCGTTGCATCTCGGCGTCTAACTGCAGCCTCAGTCTGCTTACCCGTTTATTGGTTAGATTAGTGCTTCTCAACTTTTGACAATTTGAAGGTGTGTGGACTTCAACTCCCAGAATTATACATCCTGTATAATCCCCTCCAGATGTATAACTTCAGCTACTGTTCTCCTGGTCAACCAAGTAACTCATCTAATGCAATGCAGCTGAATGGGTAAAACTGATTTAAGATTGTTTTAGAAAGTAACCTGTGCCTTTGAAGTACTGACTAAAAGTGAATACAAAATAATCCGATATCCTTACTGAATAGCTCCTTTTTGAATCTGAGGAGCTGTAGAGGAAACAATTGATTCAAGAATGCAGTTTATTTGGATTTGAGAGGGTTGTCTCCTTCTATTGCCTATGCAGTAATCATTTATTGGTATCCCTGGACCTGAAGGCTCCCTAAGATCAAAATAAGAGTTTCTCAGTGCAAAAATAGGACTTCATAACGATCAAGGTTGCTCACAACATTCCATGTCATAGCCTCTGGAAATTAGGGATCTGGAGATCAAACAGGAAAGAGTTAATTTCCCATATTATGGTAAATAATTTATTCAGCTCTGGGATGTTGCTCATATACTCAAGACCTTGCTTAATCAGCACATAAAAAGCACATTTTTGTGCTAAGGTAAGCCAAAAGAAATGCCAAATGCCTAATTTATAATGTTAAAAAAGCTATAATAAAGGTAGAACTAAAATTCCAAGGAAGGATGTATAAGTTGTCTAGTAGAATACAAATATTTTAAATTGCATGCCTTCCCAAGTATCCCTAATGACTGCTTATACTGGCTGAGGCTGCTGAAAGTTGTAATACAGGTAGTCATTGACTTACAAAAGTTCATTTAGTGACCATTCAAAATTACAAGAGCAGTGAAAAATGTGACATGATGACTATTTTTCAGTTACAACCTTGCAGCATTCCCGTAATCGTGTGATCAAAATTCAGACGCCTGGCAACTGGTTCATATTTATGACAGTTGCTGTGTTCCAAGGTTATGTGATCATCTTCTGCAACCTTTTGACAAGCAAAGTCAACAGGGAATCCTGATTCACTTAATAACCGTGTTACTAACTTATCAACTGCAGTGATTCACTTAACTGTGGCAAGAAAGGTCGTAAAATGGGGCACAACTCACTTAACAAATGTCTCACTTAACAGAAACTTTGGGCACAACTGTGGTCATAAGTCAACTACCTGTACAAAATCTGGCAGGACTGTTACCTATTTCCCATTATTCCAGTCTCCTAGCCCTAGACAAGTCAGCTCAAACATCCTCAGTCAAGACTAGAACACATCCCCTGTCCCAAGTTCAGGATTGGTTGCATGTATACACAGAAGTTATTTACTTTTAACTTTATTGAGGTTTTGAAACATTAAAATAAAAATAGATTTAAGAATAACTTACAATAATTGTTGAACATTTACTCTGTATAAATGTGATACATATTCCAAAAGATAGCAGCTTACATAGGTTCTCTAAGTGCAATGCAGGCTTGCTAGATCAAAAAGGCAAGGCAGACTGTGACCAAACATACTAGCATAAATTAAATGTTTATCCTTTCCCCTGAAACGCAGTTAGACAATTTCTACTTAAGGGAATTCAAAACGTAATAATAAATTCATTCAACTCCCGTCAAATTTTCCCCATGAAATAGATCTCATGTTTTGTTGAGTTTTCTATTTCAGGAATACTGGTAAGCCATATGCAATGGGAGCAGCTCCAATCATGTATCTGAGCTTGGGAGCCTGGCGGGATTCAATGACGTACTGCAGCAAAGGGGCTCCAGAACTTGCCTTGAGCCAGTTGTTCAGAAGTGCCCGCATATAGCGATCAATATCTCGATCTGTTACATCCCAGAGATTACCCAGCACTAGGGGACTGGAAAACAAGGGAGAGGAAAGAAGTATGTGAGCACGTTTATAACAGAAACATGGATATATCAATTGGTAGGCAAAACAGAGCAAAAGGTTTGGTTGAGTAATACTTAGGCTTGCACAAGCATTTCATGTTGGATGATGTCTCCTTGCTCCTGAAGCTTTAGGATAGCAAAGATTTCCCAAGTATTGACTTCATGTATACTTTTCCCAACATAGTTTGGAAGCCAGTATATCAGGATTTAGGAACTATGATTATGGGCAATTACCAAGATGACTACTAGGTTTTAGCAACTTACCATCCTGCCATGATGAACTTGAGGATAGCACCAGTTCCCTCCAGGTTGCCCTGTACTGCTAGAGCAGCACTGCTGCAGCCAAAAAGAAGAGCCACAGCTCTGCAATCCATTTTTAAGATGGAATCCACAAAGCGTGCGCCTGCCCCATGGCCAGCGTAGCTAAAAGAAGAAAAAAAATTGATTGACACCTCAAAAAAATCTGTCAGATTCCCATTGTGCAATTTCTTGATTGTCTCAGTTTCCTGTTCATTTGCAGATCTTAAATAATATACCTGCACCAGAAACTGAAACAGGAAATCTTTTAAAGTGGCTGGCCTCTCAATCACATCGTCAGAAGGCTGCATCCCCTCTTTTGCTCAACTTATCCACGGCAAAAGGGAGCGAGAAGTTTGGTTCCAGCAAGTTAAAGCAGCAGGGTTTGTTCATTTATTTTTCCTTTATTAACATATATAAAAATACATATATCCATATTCACACACACACACACACACACAACGGAACAATACATTGGAAATTTTAATATCAATTAATTTAGCCTAAGACTGAAATCTGTGCTATAAAACAAATACTTTGATATGTGTTTTATTTAATTTTGAAGAAAAACTCAAATGATCATGCTTGCAATATTAATATTCAAAACTGTGATTAATATTGATAGAATATCTACTTTTTCTTTCTGTTATCTACATTTAATACTACATTTAATAGGTGCATAAATAATAGAATATTAAGACTATTATATAAATACTATTATACTGAAATACGATATTGTATCAAAACGATGGAACAATAGATGGTCTATATGACTAGATTTAATAATATGTGAAAAAATGAGCTATTTCTATATTAACATTTTATGGATATATTTTAAATTTTCTTCAAATACCATTCATTTAATCACTATTCTGTACATTCTGATTTTATTAGCATTGCTATATTTTTATTGTATTTTTGATATAAGAAATATGTGAGATATAGGATATGACATATGATATATAGGATCTGATATAGGGTATGATAAGCATTCTTGCTTAATTCTGGCAAAATAATTAGGTTTGCTAAAAGATCTTCTCTCCTCATTTAGAAGTTGGCTACAATGAGCCAAAACCTCCCAGCTGAACTGAACACATCTATTAAATGTGTTTTTGCACATGACTTGCTGATGAGGTTCTTGGAAAACACTAGGCTTCGAGTATAACCTTCAGGATAAGCTTGCTGCTTATCTTGTTATTTAATATAGAGTCATAAAAGACACTAATAAATGTTATAGAAATGGGAAACAGAGGGGTGGGGAGGAAATCAAGGAATTTCCAGCACTGCTTGTCCTGGTAAGTAGCCCAAAATATAGTTATGGCATAGCAACTCTTTTCCTTCCCCCCCATAAGCCAGTTCTTACTTCTCTGTGATATCTTGGTTTTGCATAACTATTTTCTGAGACTTTATATAAATACTCAAAGAGCAGAAAACTGTTAAATACATTCAGAGAAAAATGTATTCTTGAGCAACTTTTTTTGTACTTTTCTATTTTCCTGCTTTCTCTATGCCTCTGCTCACTTATGAATAGCATTACTCTAATGAGCCTCTGTAGCTGAGATCTACTGTATTAAAAACATTTTTAAAGGCGAGAACACTTACAATTAAGCGCCTAATCAAGGAAAAATGTATTCTCTCAGAGCAATCACATCAGACCCAGAATCCACTTCCTCTGTGCTTTAATAGCTTTCCTTGTGCAAGTTTTCTACCTGCAATTCATTCAAGCATTCAAACTTTTTGCTGGTGCTAGTATAGGATATGCAGCTCTGCCTTGTACTCACATGTAGAGATCACGTTCTTCGAGGGCCAGTGGTACTTGGTCTGTACTGGGAACCTCTCCCACCACTCCTGCCCATCCAGGTTCACTACCAAGTAATAAGCAGAGGGGGAAAAAAGATAGCTATCAGTTGAATGAGTTTGGTTGTGTCAACATGGTAAGCAACCTTGATTCAAAAGGAAGCCTGCTGACAGATTGTGATGCTATGGCTCCCCTGAAGGATCCAAAATCTGTGCAACATAGAGTGCAAATACCTACCTTTGAAACCATTCTTTGAACATCTTCTCTGTGCCAGGAAGATTTTTGTGTGGGTTCAGAACATAGAAGGTGCTGCTGCTGCTGACTCCGTGGTTGAGGATAGTCTCTTCCTGATACTGTTTGAAGGAGATCAGAATAGTTGCTTCATTAAATGGGGACAAAGCACCATGAAATCAGGCACTATTTTTAGCATGTGAGGATTTTCACTTGATTATCCAAAGTCCATGAGAAGAAAGTGTGTGTGTATGTGTGTCTTCTATTATCA